CTTAATTTTTACAGAATTTGAAATTTCTTTACAATATATTTGAGACATTTTCAACAAAATGATTAAGGTTTTGATTCTTTTATAGTAAAATTTGCAAGTTTTCTGCTATATTTTAGAGTCTTTTTGAAAGAATTAGTCAAAGTTTTGAAAACGACTTAATTTTTACAGAATTTGTAGTTTTTTTTACAATATTTTTGAGACATTTTCAACAGAAAGATTAAGGTTTTGATAATTATTCTTTTATAGTAAAATTTGCAAATTTTCTGCAATATTTTAGAGTCTTTTTGAAAGAATTAGTCAATGTTTTGAAAACGTCTTAATTTTTACAGAATTTGTAATTTCTTTACAATATTTTTGAGACATTTTCTACAAAATGATTAAAGTTTTGATAATTATTCTTTTATATTAAAATTTGCAAGTTTTCTACAATATTTTATAGTCATTTTGATAGAATTAGTCAATGTTTTGATGATGGTTTAATTTTTACAGAATTTGTAGTTTTTTTACAAAAAATTTTATATATTTTCTACAAAATGATTAAGGTTTTGATAATTATTCTTTTTTTAGTAAAATTTGTATTTTTTCTGTAATATTTTAGAGTCTTTTTGAAAGAATTAGTCAATGTTTTAAAGACTACTTAATTTTTACAGAATTTGTGGTTTCTTTACAATATTTTTGAGACATTTTCTACAAAATGATTAAGGTTTTGATAATTATTCTTTTATAGTAAAATTTGCAATATTTTAGTCTTTTTGAAATAAATAGCCAATGTTTTGATGATGGCTTCATTTTTATAGTTTGTTTTTAAATAATGACAATCTTTCAGAGATTTTTTCAGAAAGAATCATTCAATGGTTTGACGATGGTAATTTCTTTAGTTATGGAATGTAGTGGATGGAATGAAGAAATGATGGAAGGAAGGAAGGATCTTGAGAATTAAATTATGGGACCGGACCTGTCGACTGAATCGTATCGGATCGGATAGAGGATCAAGATCGGTTCAGGATCAGCAGAATCTCCTCGTTCGAGTATCGGGGTTGTGGATGAGGATGAGGATCGAAGGGCGGTAAATCCCGATCGCGCAACCCTCCGAGACAACGAAATAATTAACCCCCGAGACCTCCCCGCAAATTCGATTCTCCACAACACACGACTCTAATTTACAATCGCCCGGCCCCTTCTTCGCGCCGCACGGATCCTTCCTTCCTTCACCCCCAAACTAACTTATTTGCTTATTAATTAGATATCACTGCCTCTGTATATCTGTCTTAATCCGAAATTTCGTATTCCCATCGAGATTTCCATCGCATCTTCTTTCCATAAATCTCGATCTGCACGTAACATATTTGTATCAGCAAAATTTACATACATACACCTTTCAACCGAAAACCCACTACATCAAACGTATAATATAATTCTAAATTTCTTCAATTATATAATTAATTACAAGACAAAAACAATAAAAAAATTTAGTTGTTTTTAAATTGCAATGTTATCAATAAGTTTATTTCAGGGAGGTCCGCTACTACCTAGGAAAATGATATGTGAACGTGTATAAATTGCAGCTAGACAAGAGAAGTTTATTTCACTACTAAAATCTCTACATCAAATGTATTATATAATAACTATTTTTTTTATCTATAAATCACGCTTGTTTGTTTAGTTTTATTAACTAAAAACTACGTTGCAAATTGATCAATAATTTGTCAAAAAAATTAATATTACTACAGATAAACTTTCTCATTTTATTATCACTTAAGTTCACTATTAAGTGAATGATATAATCATTAATAATTGTATAATAACACTTGATTATTACGTTTTAAATAACTCTAAAAATGTGTTTTTTAATTGAGAAACTACAATTTGTACCGTCAAGAAAATTAACAAAATTAGAACAAAATATGAAAATTTATTACAAAAATATAAAATTTATTTCTGTAAAAGTTATTTTTATATTAATACATTTATTCATTAATAATATTGAAGGTATAAACTTCTTTATTTTATATGTAAAGCATAAAATTTAGGTTGTCATAAAAGAAACGTTACTATTTCATTTTATCGTCATTTTATTTGTTTTGAGGTTATATCAATTTTTATTGCGAATTCATACGAAATAAAAAACACAATTTTATGATTTATACAAAAAAAATATTACTAAAACATTATCTGTCAAAATTACGAAAAAAAAAACAATCATAATGATGAATTTTTTTTCTCCAAAAATACTGCTAATAATAAGAGAAAATTAGTTATGATTAAAGTCATTTATTTGTTTAAAATTTTTGTATATTAGTTAATATAATTTTGATAAAAATATTGAATAATCTGCTGCTGTTTCTAAATTATTTATTCTTGAAATTGTAAAGCTTCTTTTATGACAAAATTGTTTATTAAAAAAAATTGTGATAAGGAAAGTTAAAATTTTGCGGTTATTTGTGTTAAAAGTGTAATTATTTAAAGCGGTGATTAAAGATGCACATTGCAGCGTTACAGATACACATTCACAGTGGAATGTACATAATGCAAAAGTTCGCTAACAACGCCCTCAGGGGGATTTACCATTAGAAGAAGCGAGTTGAATAGATAATAGAGGGTTTATCGCCCGGGAAAGTTTTCCCTCCTTTTCTCGCCCGTCGGACCGTGTGAGCATGAGGGCGGATTAAGAGAGAGACAGAGAGAGAGATGCATATGGAAACGATAAAGAATAAGAGAGAGATGAAGAGGTGGAGTGAGTGGAGAGAATAGGAAAAGGAAGTGGTATAAATTTGGATGCAATTACTTAAAGCGTCCGAAATTATCTCCGGAGGGTTAAAAGTTTCCATGCAAACACACGCCCGGACGGCTTCTCGAATTACGCGACCTTCCGCCTACTTGCGCGAGATTCATAACAGAAACACATGGAAAACTCTAAATTTGACAGTTAATAACAATTGAATTGCGAATGTCAGAAACTTGGAAATAAACTCATTGGAAAGGCCACAGTTTTATCTTTAATTACCATTCAAAAAAATCTAATTATAATACGTAGTTGTTGTGTAATGAAACAAAACGTGAAGGCATTACAACAAATCGAAAATCGTCATAATTTGATTATTCATTTTCTGATGCGAAAAAACGTGCGATAAATTTACGAGTAGGCTCATTGAAAAGTCTCTAGTTTTATCTTTAATTTGCATGTTTAATTATCTAATCAGCATATATAATTCTTGAGTAATAAAGTAAAAATAAATTGAGTAACAAAATTTAAAAAAAAAATAATCTAACAATTGTCATATTTCAATCATTAACATTAGGTTATATCAAAAAATGCGTAATAAAACACTTTTCTCGTGTTTAATTATAATATATGCTAAAAAAATGGTTAAAACAAATCGTTTTTGATAACTGCAAAACATGAATTGGGGAAAATTTTTCTAAAACTTTGACAGCTTGTAACAAAAGAACCGTAAAGACTATAAACTTGTCTGATAGTTCCTATTAAAGATCATAGTTTTATGTTTGTATTTCATTTTAAATAATCTAATTACTATGAGTGGTTATTGATTAATCAAGTAAAATGTGAAGATACTTTTCTTTCAATCTTCTTTTATGACATTTTCAAAACTCATAACAAATGAACTACGATCACCTGAAACTTCATAATGAAATCAATGAAAATACAATAGTTTTATCCTCACTTGACACATTTAGTTATCTAATTAACGTTTATAGTTGACTATATAATCAATAAATTGTAAAGACAAAATCGAATTTCACAAATTTTGAAAACTTATAACAAAAGATGAAACAACAAATCTAGCGGTACAATCATAGGAAATTCCGTAATTATATTTTTAATTTGCATATTTAATTATCTAATCAGCATATTCATGTGTATAAAGTAAAAATAAATTGAAAAAGAAAAAAAGTTAAAAATTAAAAAAAATCTCGTATTATGACAGCTTGTAATGAATAAACGGTGAAGACTATAAACGTGAGTGATAGTTCATAGGGAAGGCCATAGTTTTATGTTTATTTTGCATGTAAAATGATCCAATTAGATTTAGTGGTTGTTGATTAATCAAGTAAAAGGTGAAGTTACTTTTTTCAATTTTCTTTTTGACATTTTCATAACTCATAACAAACGATCGACTCAAACTTCATAATGAAATCATTGAAATGCTATAGTTTTATCTTCACTTGACATATTTAGTTATCTAATTAACGTTTATAGTTGACTATATAATCAATAAAATGTAAAGACAAAATTTTGGAAACTTATAACAAAAGAACGATGAAACAACAAATCTAGCGGTATAGTCATTGGAAATTCCGTAATTTTATTTATAATTTGCATATTTAATTATCTAATCAGCATATTTATGTGTATAAAGTAAAAATAAATTGAATAAGAAAAAAAAGTTAAAAATTAAAAAAAATCTCATATTTTGACAGCTTGTAATGAATAAACGGTCAAGACTATAAACGTGAGTGATGGTTCTTAGGAAAGGCCATAGTTTTATGTTTATTTTGCATGTAAAATGATCCAATTAGATTGAGTGGTTATTGATTAATCAATTAAAAGGTGAAAATACTTTTTTTTTCGGCATTGTCAAATTCGACAACTCATAAAACATGAACGAGGAATAGCACAAATATGGTAATGTGATCATTGGAAAGGTTATAGATTTATCTTCAATTAACATATTTAATTATCTAAATAGAGTTTGTAGTTGTTGGATAATCAATTAAAATGTAAAAACATTTTTTTTCGATCACTTAATTATATGCTCAACTTTGACAATCTACAATGGATAGTAAATAAATAAAAAATATAAATAGAAAATAACAAACTTAAAATCGCATTTGTTACGTAAGCAAAAGTGGTGTACTTTAAACTCGAACGCGTTCTTGGAAAGCGTCGAAGATCGAAATCGATTATCACTCATCCTTCTACCGTTATCTGATAAGCATTTTATATATAAAGGAAGTAAACGATTGTCATAATTCAAGTACTAACTTCGGTACTAGAATACAAAAAAAATTGACTCGAAAATGAAGGTTCTTCTGTGCTTCGCCGCTGTTGTCGCCGTGGCTTTCGCCGCTGCTTGCGACGTTGAAAACTGCAAGATCGAGGATGAATGCGTCTGCACCAGCAGGTCTTCACCTCTTCCCTTGGAAGATACCCCACAAGTAAGTTTAGATTTGTGTGTGTTTTTTTTTTGTAATAATTATTGATTGTTTGCAGTTCGTCATGTTGACTTTTGATGATGCCGTGACCAGGTACATTTATGACACCTATTACCAAACGCTTCTGTTGCCTCGCACCAACCCGGACAACAAGACCATCGGAGCCACCTTCTTCGTTCCGCACGAATACTCCGACTACGAAGCGGTCAACCAGTTGTACAACGCCGGTTTCGAAATCGGAACTCACTCGATCACGTAAGTTTCCATATAGATTTTCAATGGTTAAATTACTAATTTTCTTTTGGTAATTTTAAAGCAAGGATTTGGCTTCTTACTGGGAGAAGGCTTCCGAGGATACCCTCGTCCAGGAGTTCAAGGGACAGAAGGAGATCATCGCTAAATTCGCCAACATCCCCGAGGAACACATCAAGGGTGTGAGGACACCGCATTTCCAATTGGCCGGAAACAAGACTTTCACGGCTTACGTCAAAGCCGGATGCAACTACGACAGCAGCTGGACTTCTCTGCCGAAGGACAAACTTTTCCCGTACACCTTGGATCATGTCAGCACCCAGGAGTGTTTGATCGGCGAATGCCCCACTGTTTCCGTTCCCAAATTCTGGGTCGCCCCAATCAACGATCTCGTTGGAGAGAACGGCATCAACTGCAACACCATCTATGGTTGCCAAAAGAAGTAAGTCACACACAAAATCATCATATTCTATATTGTTTTTGTGTGTTTCGTTTTGCAGCGGAACAGCCGAAGAGATCGAAAAATGGTTGTTATCTGAGCTGGAGAAGTCCTACAAGAATCGCGCCCCAATGAAGCTTCTGGTCAACTCCGTGTGGCTCTCCGACGAACAGAACCTGAAGGGTTTCGAAGGATTCTTGGACGCCGTCGGCGAGAAGGAAGATCATTTCCTCGTCTCCGTTCGCGAAGTCATCGAATGGATGAAGAACCCGGTCCCAGTTACGCAATACACCAGTCTTCTCGGAAACGTCCCGACCACCTGCGATCCAATCACCTGCGTCTTGGACAAGCAGCACGAGACCAGATACATGAGGTCCTGCGTCCCATGCCCAAGGATCTACCCATGGTTGAACAACCCAACTGGAGAAGTCTACTAAACACATAAACACACAAACAGAGTTTACTTTCCGTTGATACAACAACCAGATTTTATTTATAAATACAAAAAAAAATACGTAATTTGTCCATGATTTTAAAACCTTTCATATTTTCTATATATTTATAGGAAAACAACAAGTGAAAATTTGTAACAGTAATGAAACGTGCACGAAACATGATTCCCATTTATATCTGATTTCTGTTTAGATAAGCGTATTGTATTTTTATATTTGTTTTGCTCGATAAAAACTGATTACGTTTCAAGTTGGCATAAGCCAACTGCACTTGAAATTAAAAACGTATTTGCCAATCGATTCGATTAATTACCTACAGATTATTTGTTTCTATATTATGTCGATGATTTCGGTGAATCAAAATATTAAAAAAAAAA